TATATAGCACCGTGACTGTATTTCGAATACCTTTATTTACTGGAGCTGGAGCGCTCAGCTTGTGGGCTGTGTGCTAAATTCTATTAGAAATCAGAGAAATTTCTATTATTTGTCCTAGAAGTTGATTCTTATACATTTCGCCTTCACGAAATTCCAATTTTACCCTTATGTTGTTTGTTATTAATATTTTTTCACGCAATGTGTGACCATTTGCACTCATCAAGAATTTAAAACCAATTAAGAATTTATTTGTCTAACCGCAACGTTTCTTCAACTTTAACCTTTAGTTCTATTTAATTCTAATTTAAATACTTTAGGGAGCGCGGAATGATAAATTTATTCAAATCAACGTCTAAATTCTTCAAACCGAACCTGAATCTTTTGGTTTCAACGCGGCAACTTTTTGCCGCGTGACATCTGCCAGGCCTGGCGGGAATTTTTTCACCAGGTCGGCAGCTCAAGACTCCGATGTTCGGTCTCGTCCTAAATAAGTCCGGAGGCAGGAAGTCAATAATGAAGCTCAGTTGGATTTGCGGAGGCATCTTTAGTCCGACTGTCTCATTTGCAGCGGATTAGGCCTCAGTAATTACAGTAAGGAGCTCCAAGAGGCCACACTCCAGCACGATTCTGCAGGACTGCGTCTCAGCTACACCGAGAACATCTCTTAAATTAAGCCTCCAGTGCACCGACTTTATATTACCGCCGTTGCAGAGGCCGTGTAAAACATGCGCATTTGCTACGATATTTGAAAAATTTATTATTGATTCGTTTCTACTAAAAAAAATAAAAATTTTGAAGCAATTAATCTACGAAACACAGTCCATTCATCTACTACCGACATCAAGTTTTATATTATGACGAATAATTTATTTTCCTTTCCCGCAAAAATCCACAATTTTTTATTACCCAAATTCAATATTGTTTGACAAAATTAACGTTCATTCATTGACGACTGTTCAAAAGTGTATTGGTCCATTCATTAATATCTATGATTGAAAATGTCATAGTGGTTCGTCTTGGCAGACGACGGTAAAGTTTTCATGCTAGAGAAGCAGGAGTCTCCGTAAACATGTGGTGAAGGCTTCGGTCCTGCTGAAAATTTTTAAGGTCGAACGAGCTGCACTTTAAAGGGCAGTAAATCCGCAAGTGACCCAAATGTGAAGAACGACTATTATTCATCCCTGAGAAACACACGAACTTCTCAAAAATTATGGTAATATTGGTTAGTTACGCGTTGCGGTCAGCTGAAAGTTCGTTCTATTTCATCGCAGCAAGGATGGTACTGTGATACACATTAAAATTTTAATTATGGGTCTAGAACTCTTCACTAGCGGGAAGTTTTATCCTTTGTAGCAATATACACTTGCACAACTGATGGGTAAACAGTATTTTATACGTCATACAAATAATGTGTCTCTAAATAAATAAAAGCTGTACATGTAGGAGAGCTTGGACGAGTTCCTACATGTCAATACGCTGCGCTTGTAAGCTGAATCTTGGCCAGACTTTGCGCCTGATTGCTGTGGAAGTTGATCGAAACAACCCTCATCGCCACAGACATGTTGAGAGCAAAAATACGAGGTTAATCGTGCAACTCCATCGCTTATGGACTTAGTCAGAGGAATTAACATCGCTATCGGGACTACAGTTGCTGGGATGACCAGCTAGTTGGGCTGCAGTTGCTGGGATGACCAGCTAGTGGGGCTGCAGTTGCTGGGATGACCCGCTATTGGGACTACAGTTGCTGGGATGACCAGCTAGTGGGACTGCAGCTGCTGGGATGACCCGCTATTGGGACTACAGTTGCTGGGATGACCAGCTAGTGGGACTGCAGCTGATAGGGTGATTGGCCCTCGTTTATTCGAGTCGAGAATAGAAATTCTTTCATTTACTACCTCCATTCCATTTGAATTGTAAGCAAATTGAAATGTTTGGATGAATAATGAATCTTTGGTACGAAATTTATTACTTGTTGCCATAAATACCCTAGATGAAATTGGCAACTTATGAGTCGTATTCTTTCTGGCCACTTTTGATAATGAAAAATCAAAGCATTTAATTAAAAAATCGAGCAGTAAAAAATCACGCATTAAATGTACCTGCTAAGAGTTAGCATCACTAACTAAGGCCTTAACATCTCAAATCAAAGGATGTTTAAAAAAAATCGGACGAAGATAACCGAAAAATATGGTTTTCACATACAAATCATCACCATCAGGAACTAGTTTTTAAATGCAATTTCAATTTCAAACTTTTTTCAAGTTTTCTTAAATGCAGAATTTTTCGAAAATGATTGCACACGCAAAGTGGCTTAGCTCAAACGATTCCAATTTTAGTTTTAGCTTGATGCTTTTTATTAGCATTAAGAAAATATCTACGAACGTTGTTCAAAGTTAAACAAACAATAATTTCTCGAAGCCACTATGGGATCACAGGATCGGCCTTGTCGTATCTAGCCCTTCAAGAATTATTGTACCTTTTCCGTGGAATCGCATCAGTTCTTTGGAGACTCCGATACCGTGTGATCTTTATTGATAGCTCCAGACCGGTCAAGATTCTTTAGGTTTTTCGACTCCCTGCGATGCGGACAAATGGTTTGTAATCTCACGAGAGAGTCGCATCGTTTCTCTACCGGCGTGAACTGTGTCAGGCACTTCAGTGACCTAAACTTTTGAACCATTCTTTATTTCTATCTAAATAATTCCTAGATTTCAGAACTCGATTCAAACGTGATATTGTTTATTTTAAATTCATTCAATAATATTAGATCATATCGTGAATCATGCAATATATTTACTGTACCTGCCGAGATGAAAAATTGGACCTGCTCTTATTTTTCTCCCAATGTTCCGTGGGAGTTGACACGCTGCTCCATCAATCACTTGCAAATATCAAGCCTTCTTCTCGGTTCCACTATTCGGAAGTGCTAAGATGGCTTGCCTGATCTTATTTACATTCGAACTCAGCAGCTGCAAGCGAGTTAATTCTAGAATACTTCCTTCCGAATTTTATTTTACTGAGAATACGATGATTGAGTGATGGAATATAAAAATCATAAACACTATATAATAATATAATACTAGGTGGTGACGCACGTGAACTTGACTCCGATAATACCTACGTTTGTTAATTATGTGTTACTGATGCATTAAATCGGTAATAAAAGAACGAAGACTTTTGATCTCACATCCCGTATTTAACTCTCTAAGAAATAGGAAAAGTTCCCACTCCCGTAATCAGTTTTTGGGAAGCGATTTAAATCTTCAATTAATAGCCCTCAAGCTGCCTCTTGAATGCGCTGGATTTTTCGAATCACGAGCCCCCAGCCAATATTATTACGGGGACGAGTTTTCCGTCCCGACGATTGCCAACTGACTTAGCATTTTGATTGAGAGATTAGCATTTTAGGCTTCGTAATTAGAGAAATGCCGAGAGATCTTATTAGAATTCAAACTTAATTTGCATTCTTTCAAATTGACTGCGGAAAGTTCAGAGTGATTCCTGATATAAAACTGTGGAGATCAACGTAACTCTTTTAGAACTGTTATTGTCCTCTCTGTCGGGGTCGGAGAGCTGAGAGTTCAGAGCGTCCAAGCGGAAAAACTGCATCTTGTTTTGCGTGCACTCGCCGGCAACAAGGGGAGACTCGCAAACATTTCATTTCACTTCAGCATTTTCCCGCAATCTGCCATGGAATCAAATGTATTCTGCATCTGAGGCTTCAACACGATAAAAATTGCAGCTTTTTCCAAACGAGATTATGAATGTGCGTGGGCGTATGTTCGAAACAGTCATCAGTGACGTGCCTTTGGCGCAGTAATTTTGTGAAATGAACTAATTTCTTTTTAAATTGTCAATGTACCACAAATTGAATACCAATGTACTCATTGGTTGCCATGAATACTTTAATGCAATAATTTTCAATTAAAGTTATGAGTGGAGCATCGTTTTTTTCTAATTGTCGACATGCCATGTAGAAATAGCATTAGTTCACGACTTGAGCATCCATACGTCGCACCTGTTGATAACCTCGGACCCAAAACTCTTCCAAAACATAATTTTTTTAAATTAAAGCAACTGATCTCAATACATTGCATTTTAATTCATTGAACGCTACTGCACCCAAATTAATATTCATGAAATAACCAATCATTATTATTCACTGCCGCATGTGACGCAACATTCATAAGTTCCAGGCCCACGCAGACATCGAACGCGCATAATTTGAATAATTTGCAATTCTGCATCCGACGAAACAATTTTGAATTGATTGGTCCTCATGCCGCGCAGCAAAGCTATCGTAACTTGACAAACACAATAACAAATTTTTTTAATATTAATGATTCAAAACTAGGGAACGGTGTGATAAAATATTGTGATATTTTCCATTGGGAGTGAATTGGGCACGTGAGACCAATAGTCGGGATGTGGTGTCCATACTCATGTCCGCGAGATCGAAGAAAGTAGCAAAAATATCTCTAGCATTGGTGATTACTATAAACTTTTGAACAGGTTAATATTCATTAACCTGTTTTTAAGTTTAGCTCTTCGCTTAGATGACCATAATAAATTAATCTAGACGCGGGAAAATTTTGAAAATACGGTGCTTTTGTATTGCACGCTTTGATGACTATCGTTGAAACCCCGAATTTGCAATAAAATCAAATAGGAGTCAAATATTTTAGCAGTTATTTAATATAACCGCAAATTGGATCGCACAAAACACGTATATGAATTTCGAAAACTCGTTAAATAAATAAATAAATTAGACAGTTACTTTACAGTACACAATCAAGAAGCACGAAAGTTGTCCATTCGACTGTCTCACCGCCACTGAAAATATTATGAGAGGAATTAATATATTAGTTATATATACTAATATACTACTAAAATTATTATGAGAGTAATTAGTATATTGGTACGTTACCAATATGCTACTAAAATTATTATGACAGTAATTAGTATATTGGTAATAAATGCAGCGTTTGTGTTGTTGTCAGTGCTGAGCGTCACGGGCGTCGCAGGGCAGACGTCGCGGCTGCCGTGCCCGCTTACACCGCGGTCCTCTGGCGACGTCCCGAAGCTGGTGCTGTGGTACAGAACGGGGGACAGCGCCCCCATCTACAGGTGAGGGGGGGGTGGGGGGGGTGCTGTGGTACAGAACGGGGGACAGCGCCCCCATCTACAGGTGAGGGGGGGGGTGCTGTGGTACAGAACGGGGGACAGCGCCCCCAAAACGACAAAAGTTTTCAATTAGTGTAAATTATCAACTTTTCTGGAAGTGAAACAACAAAAAATGCAGTCAACGGTTTAATAAACATTTTCGATCGATTAGGATTGAGGCATTTCGTTTGGCAAATTATTTTTCTTTCCAGAATTTGGGGAGCAAATTTCGTCAACATCTCAATTTTAGTGACAGACGAAAAAAAATCCTTGTGAATTAGATCGTTTAACATCCTACCAATTGCCCTGAAATTTAAATCCAGAAAAAGAATTATATTTTTCTTCCATTCTTTTCCATTTTTAACCCTTTAGGAATGGCCTTAATTTCAAGCAATTGTAGTTCACGGGTAGTTATGCTTGCACCCAGAGACCATATGAGGCACGTATCAATAGATATCTTCTGATTAAATTAAACTTCAAGTTCTAATTCTCGAACTCGAGTTCTCTCACACATGAAGACAAAGAGATATACTTGCAGTTAATAACTTGTTCGGAAATTTAGGTTTTTATAGGGTTCATGAAATATTTTAACTTAAAATGTGCTTTATCATACAATCTCCTTTCGATATCGAAAACTAGTTATTTATTCCCAAGATGCCCATACAATCATTGGTATCCTTTGCTATTCATTGTTATTTTACCAGGGAAACTGGAACATTTAGGGTAGATCTCCGGAGAAGAGCAAGTCAACTTACAAACCTCAAACTTTATTCTTATTCGAACCCAGTCTTGATACTTCCATTAAAACATATTTAGCAACATTAAAAAATTCTCAACTTGTTAAAGCCTGCATAATTTATCCCCATAGTCAAGACGGCAGGAGCAAGCAAGAGTCCAGCCCTAAGCAGTACGGCAAGGGTTCACAGGACCAGGTTTTCTCGAAGCCTCTGAGCAGAAAATACGACCTCCAATTAACGCCAAGTCATCACTCGGCAACGCTAACTCTACGGCACACAACGCCACTTTCCGCGGGCCTTTACGAGTGCAGAGTTGACTTCTACAGGTCACCGTCGCACACCAACTTTGTTAACCTCACAGTTATAGGTCAGCTTGCGTTTTATGTGAACATTTCGTATTTATTACGGGCAACTTCACTTCTTATTTTTATTTTGTAAACAAAGCAGCCAAACTTTAAAACATTTTAGAGTTCGGTATTTTTTTCCTCAAGATATAATTTATAGTTCGACAATTCACCTTCTGTTAAATAGCACCATTCATTCTAAAAATGAATTATTTTATACATTTCTGCCCAGTAATTGTTAGCAATTCAAAGTTATCTGAATAAAAACTGGTGATATTTTTCAGTTTCACCATAACTGAATAAAAACTAATGTTTTTTTGGCAATGCATTTGGATGTTTTCAATCCAAATTTCAATCACACGTCTTGTAATTTTGTATTTAATCATTATTTGTCTTAATGACCATTTCTTATACCCCCCATACTCCCCGCCCAGAGCCCCCCGTGAGACTCTCGGTGCTGGATGGGGGCGGTCTCGCCCCCCGTCAGGGCAGGCTGGGCCCCTACACTGAGAACGCCCCCGTCAGCCTCGCCTGCACGGCCGTAGGCGGTCAGTTCACTCGTAGCTATAGCATAACTGTGCTTGCATTTTGTTTCATAAGCTATTATAGTTAATGATTTTCACTTAATTCTCGAATTTATTACTTAGTTTTAACAAATACAAACTTAAAAATTAGTTTTAGTACTAAATTTTTAGATCAGATTTGTCAACTGAATGACTGCGTTTGACCTTTGAGGGTGAAACCTATTTTCACTTCTCACCTTACGCAGAATAAATATTTATTCGATAAGCTTTATTCAATTTATAAGCAATTTATTCGCTAGTGCTTTAATTCAATGTGAAACCTGTTTCATCAATGGTTTGTTATTTGGAATGTAGAGAAATTTTATTTTCAAATTTACCAGTCATGATGAAATTATTGATAATTCATATCAGGAGACCCACCGCCGTCCCTGACGTGGATAAGGGACGGTGACGTGACTCTTGACGAGAGCTACGAGGCAGGGGACGAGGGGGAGACGAAGAACACATTGACGATCGAGCAACTCACGCGCGACTGGCGCAACTCGACGCTCACTTGTCTGGCGTCCAACTCAGACCTCGTCGCTCCCCTCACACTCACCTTCGTCCTCGACGTCATTCGTAAGCAGCGAACAAAAACGCGAAGGGCCAAGAAAACATATGAATCGAATCATCGAAAATACAACAAATTTATTTAATAAGGAACAAAAACTAGCATACAAATGTTGAAAACCGGAGAATATGATTATGGTCCCCGCTCGAACGAGGTCCGTGTCGCATCCGTGCAGTCCAAAGATAGGAAGCTGGGGGAATAAGACAGGAATGCAATTTTAAATATAAGTTATAGTTAAAAGGTAATAGTTATAAGGTAATAGTTATAATCAAGTTACCAGTTGTAGGTAAGTTATCAGTTATAGAAGTTTTAACGGATGTAAGGTTCTTTTAGGATTACAAGAACAGCAGCACGCACCCCTCGATCATGAGCCAAGAACTATGACAAGTCATATGGCTCACCTTCACTATCAAGAGCGCAAGCCAGTCCCAGGGTAGGTTCCACGCTAGTAGCAGACTCCAGACGTCGGATGACAGACGTCGGATGACAGACATCGGATGACAGACATCGGATAGAACATACTGTTCGCGTTAATAATAATGAGCGTTGTTGATACTTTTCTACCGTTCGTTATGTTCACCCCAGTTACGTCATGTCATTATCGAATAAAATTGTCCAAAGTTGTCTAAATTGAAATGTTGCGGTTGAATGTTTGCTGGATTAAGGTACAAATTTTTGCGAGTCCTATAGTCAGATTTAAACTACTTTGATTAAAATTCAGCGGAGGGCAAGAATTTTGACCTCCGTATGGCGGTCACAATTTAACTTGCTGAACTATGATCAAATAACGCGTGAGCCGAGGTCGTCATGGTTTGCATCGGTCTCGGAGGTCGTCATGGTTTGCATCGTCAGGACACTAATTTTCACCCATGCTCGTGTTCAGAAGAATAGGTCTCCGTTTCTTAGAATGAACGTTACCAGTCAAAGATGACGCAATTTCTATTTATTCATAGTTGAATCCAGTGATAGTTTATGACAATATTGTAGGAATAGGTTAAGCGTCTTGTTGAGATAAACGTTATTGGCTGTATTTATCTTACCAAGCTTTTAATAGACCGATACCTATAGCCGGAGTCATTAAATTATAAATGTTGTAGGGTTTATGGTATTCGAGTAACTAGGTTATCGCAATTTATGATGATAATGACATCTTGATGAAAATTCCAATCAAAATGAGGTTATACTTATGACAATGAGCGTTTTTAGCAATCTTAGGATATAAGCTGCGGTCAATTCGCTAAGTAATGATAGGACAAGCCTATAAGTTTGGTTCGAGCGTAGCAGTCAAGATCGGAGCAGAAGCATAGTGTTGAGTGATGGAATCGTTATAGAAAATAAATTACTAAAGAACCCGACATCATGATTTCATCATACTAAGGAGCACGACTTCATGTTCTTTCCATCAACATCAAACGACACATAATTCTGAGCAGTTGGTACGCAATATCGATAATTTCTACTTCACGAAGTTATGGCCGATTATACATGTGTAAGAATCACATTCCCCCTCATCACCCTTAACGTCACTACGTTGTGATGTTGTCAACCTAGCCTCTATAATTACCCAAACACATCACTACGTTGCAGTGTTGCCCACGCGCGTGGTGATCACGGGGCCAGTGCAGGGAGGGGCGGGTGAGGTGGTCACGCTGAGGTGCACCAGTGAGGGGTCCGAGCCCCCGGCAGCGCTGTCGTGGCTCGTGAGGGGACAGGCGCTGCAGGGACAGGTGAGTCTTGGCTAATGAAAAGTCTGAAATATTTATTTGAAATGAATGAAATGTCTGAAATATTTATTTGAATGAAATGAAATGTCTGAAATATTTTTTTTAATGAAATGAAATGTCTGAAATAGTTTTTTGATTGAAATGAAATGTTTGAAATATTTATTTGAATTGAACGAAATGTCTGAAATGTTTATTTGAATGAAATGAAATATCTGAAATATTTAATTAAATGAAATGAAATGTCTGAAATATTTTTTCAAATGAAATGAAATGTCTGAAATATTTATTTGAATGATATGAAAAGTCTGAAAATTTTAATTGAATGAAATGAAATGTCTGAAATATTTATTTTAATGAAATGAAAAGTCTGAAAAAATTTGTTTTAATGAAATGAAATGTCTGAAAAATTTTATTGAATGAAATGAAATGTCTGATGTATTTATTTGAATGAAATGAATAGTCTGAAAAATTTATTTGAATGAAATGAAATGTCTGAACAATTTATTTGAATGAAATGAAATGTCTGAAATATTTATTTGAATGAAATGAAATGTCTGAAATATTTATTTGAATCAAATGAAATGTCTGAAATATTTTTTTGAATGAAATGGAATTTCTGACGTATTTATTTGAATTAAATGAATAGTCTGAAAAATTTATTTAAAGAAAATGAAATGTCTGAACAATTTATTTGAATCAAATTAAATGTCATTAATATTTATTTGAATGAAATGAAATGTCTGACGTATTTGTTTGAATCAAATGAAAAGTCTGAAAAATTTATTTTACGGAAATGAAATGTTCGAAAACCAGTAATGTTCGTTACCAGTTACCACTAACAGGTATTTTTTCATGTTTCACTTTGCTTACAGATATTTTTACACAGTTATTTTTATGTTTCACCTTCCCTACATGGATGTCTACTTTAATCTACCAATCTCAAACATAGTCCACTGATTTTTATATGTATATGTGGATAATTTTTTTAAATTGGTAGATTAAAGTAGACATCCATGTAGGGAAGGTAAAACATAAAAATAACTAACTTTTATTTACTGTATCTAACCCATACTAGTTCGGTTAGGTTAATTGCATTAAAGTTGCATTGATACGTTTGGAAAAGGTTTTATTATCAGTAAATGTTTATGAGTAAATCTCAATAGCAGAACAATAAATATTTAGAGATTTCCAATAGTTTTGGCCCTTTTAGCGGCGCTACATTTTACTGTAGCGGTAGCGGTAGCGCTCGCTACAATCTAGTTGGTGTAGCGGTAGCGCGCGCTACATTTCAAAGTGGCGCTGCCCAGCTCTGTTAATTTAACTAACTACGAATAAGATAATTAGTACCTACCCTATTAGCGGGCTCAGTATGGCGACGCAGTGTCGTCACTGCTGACGCTGAACCTGACGAAGGAGGACAACGGAGCCGTCATATCCTGCCAGGCTGTCAATCCCGCCCTGCCCCGTCACCCTCTGCTCAACACCACCACAATCACCGTGATGTGTGAGTGATGCTAATTATGCAGGGTGCGAAACATATTAATATTTTGGAGTAAATAAATGTCTTCCATGATAATTCTATTATCGGGAAACAAGCTGCAAACTTGCTTGCAAATGTTAAACTCTTTCGTTGTATACGCGACAGACGCGCCGGTGGTACGAGCGAGCCTCGGTCGCTCGCTGTCTCTGACGAGTATCAGGGAGGGCAACGACGTGTACTTCAACTGCCACGTCGAGGGCAACCCGCCCGTCACGCACGTCGCGTGGTACCACGAGGTGAGGGGTTATGCGTTATGAGGGGTTAGGCAAGGTGGTTCAGTGGTTACAGTTCAGAGTACCAAGATTGGAGCAGAGAGGTGCGGGTTCGATCCCAGCTCTGTGCGCCAGTTTCTGGTCAAAATCGGCGAGGAGGCCGGGCGGTTGGGCACAGCAGAATTGGAGCAGTAAGTTGCGAGTTCGAGACCGCAACAAGCTGTGGATGTTTTGCGATGTTAAGAATCAACGACAGGCTTATGGCCTAATAAACGCTGAAACCGCTATTATTATTATTATTATGCGTTGAGGGAGAACGTCCTAGTGACGAGTCGTTTCACTAGGACGTTAGGGCACTGTTATGTGGTTGGTAATACTAGTGATCAGTGGCATAAAGAAGTGATGCCGCTATGATGCCCGTAGTGGCGGAACCATCAAGCAATTGAGTTCACCGACTCGAAGACTTTGCCGCGTCTGAAAATAACAAAGAAGAAAGCAAAAAAGACAAGTTCAGAATCTTCGCAGGAAGTCAGGCCGCACTTCTACCGCGGCAAAGGATCAGAAGATCAGCTTCCGGTTCTTAAATTCAAGTAACGCTTCGGTAAATAATCGCATTTTTTACGTTTCATATACAACAATGTATATATTATCATATATTATTATTACCAATGGTAAAAATTGGCAATGCGAAAAGGTACTCTTAAATTATTTATGTAGAATTGATATTACCATAATGACAACTTGAGATAAATTGGTTCCATTTGCAAAAAATTCGTATGATGAAGCTATGCCTTTGTGGCAGTAAAACGGAGAATCTATCTGCTCGTTATTGAAATAAATTATTTAAGGCGAAAAACGTTTTTAAAACATTTTGAATAGAAGGTTGTGAGCCTCGCATGATTGCAGTCCCGGATTAATTACGGTATTTGCGGGTTCATAATTCTTTATACAAAACTCCAATAAAATTTCCTGAACAAGTAAGGCAACGTTCTTAGATTCAAGAAATAATAATTAATATTGGTTATCTACGTAAAAAATTTAATTCGATACGCTTTGAACTTTTTATTGAACTATTTCTATCTTACGACGTTCAAATTAATACTGGACTTGTAATAAACGTGGTTGTAAAAGTCAAAGACTTCCGGAAACTGAAATTATCAACTGAAATTCAAGGCAATAGGATCTACCAAACTGCCAATCGCAAGTGAGGCCAGTTCCTGCAACTCACGACTGTGTGGATCAAACGTGCTGAAGCCACTGTACCGAGGATCATGGCAGTATTGTGATGAGTGACTGGGTCGGGCATGAGGGTCGAATATGAGGTTTTGAGATTGTACCAAGCCGATCAAGCAAGTTGTGGTATAAGTTACTGGGTCGGTCATAAGCTACAAATTCATTTTAAAATATAACCGTCTAACTACCAGGTGCATGACCATAAGCAGAGGATCCTTCGTGTACCATCGAATTTGAATAATATCTAATGGCATCAAGTTTGGAGTTTATTTAAACGAGTTATTTTTTTAAATAAACCAATTATGATGATTTATAACACTTATCTTGCTGTACCGCAGGCAGAGGAGCAGGTGCAGGATGTGTCGTCAGGCGTGATCCTGGCAGGACAGTCTCTGGTCCTACAGCGCGTCAACAGGAGCAGGTCTGGCGACTACAGCTGCTCTGCCCGCAACCCTGTGGGCACCACGCACAGCAGCGCCGTCACGCTCACGATTAAATGTGAGTGTCACCACGCACAGCAGCGCCGTCACGCTCAGGATTAAATGTGAGTGCCGCCACGCACAGCAGCGCCGTCACGCTCAGGATTAAATGTGAGTGCCACCACGCACAGCAGCGCCGTCACGCTTAAGATTAAAAACGATTTTAAGTACGTGATTTGACTAGTAAATGTTCGAAGATGATGCAAAACTGAATAAAATGTTTTACAGATAATTTGTTAATTTTTAAAGACTGTTTCCAATACTTGTAAGTTAATCTTTAAGTCAAAGCTTCATTGAGATTAGATCTTCATCGAGAGATCGCTTTATCGCGGCCTTTTCAGCCGCCCGATGGATACCTAAGCTGAAATTAAATGAATCAAATTAAAGCTCAATTATATTTCCATTGAAAAGATGTTAAATTTTAGCTCAATTCGTTTTTACAAATTTAAATTCATAATAAATTTCGGTTGATTAGAATTTAAATTGAATCTAAATTTCCAATCAAATTTAAATTTCGCATTAAAAAAAATCGTGGACAGCGTCTGAGATATTCGCTCGATATGTTTGGGAAATTATTGATAATAAAACAAAAATGGACGAAAACTAGAGAATATTGAGAATCATGGAATTGAGAAGAAAAATGTGTTAACATTATGTTTATCTGTACCAAGAATGCGTGTAACTGCAGTAGAATGTAAGAAAAATATATAAGAAATGCACACATGAATGAATGTAGGGCAAATTTATGTAAGAAAGCAATATAAGAAATGGATGTAGAAGAATGTGAGAAAATATATAGGAAGTAAACACAAAAATGAATGTGTAACCAATGGATAGAAATGTAGCGTGCATGTGTAAAATGTGTGCGAGATGTATTGAAACTCCATGCAACATGTTGAAAAACGACTGGAAAAAGTTTGAAGCACGTTGTGCAAATACATGAAAATAATTTAGCAAAAAAATACTCAAATGCTATATGAGATGCGAACAAGTTTAGACGATATCTGTTCATGTTAACAGAAAACGACAATCTACAGTACCAAGGTAGGCGTGAATCACATGAACAAACAACCTGACATTCAACCTGACATTCAACCAATCTTCTCATTACGAATAATAAAATTGCGGAAGTGATATTGCAGACTAGAACGATTAGAAGATTTATTGAAAGCCGGAGCAAACACGATAATCGATAGAAAAAAAAACTAAGAAAATGGTTCAGCTTAAGTATCACAGAAGAAAAAAATCTAGACCTGCCAATCTCTCAAGTAGAAAACTTTACAGAACGGTTAATCGATAGGAGGCATGTCATAATTTCAATAGAGGGCTATAAAGAACTGTTATTCGATGGTACTCATGACATAATATTAAAATAGGGTAATAATGAACGGTTATTCGTTTGGAGCCATGCACATCATTCCATTAAAGGGCAATAAAGAACGGTTATTCGATCCAAAAAGTGTCACATTGCTCCTTTACAAGTATTATACTTATCTATTCCAAGGGGGAATTGATAAGTAAAATATTATTCCTACTAACTGGTCAATGCAAATTTCAATATTTTTCGTAAAAAGACAGCGGCTATTTTCAAACTTGTGTGGATTCTTTCGAATTTCAAATGCCAAAAAGATAAATTGTCGGCTGTTTGGAGGGCGCAAATTATTCACCAGTCGGAGAGGAGCTTCGGCTGAATGTAATGGCGTGTAATGTAATAATTTTCTTATTCGTGGCCTTCTAATTCTTTGAAAACAATAGAAAAAGTAAGGTCCGCGCTCGGCGTCCTGTGTAAAGTTGCGGGTAATGGTCTCCGTAAATATAGTATCATCAAACAATCAACCTGCGCACGCCTGCACAAAAACGAAGCTTCATTAAAGAATCCTTTCATCAATCAGCCATGACCAAATTTCTAAATCAATCGATCAATTATTTCCCTGAATTCTAGCATTATTTGTCTGACTTACAATTACTGAATCAAATTCAACGCGAAACATAAGATTGAAAAATGAATTATGTAGTAGTGGGATTATAATGGAAATTAATTGTAGCTGTGCTGACTCCGTTACCATCTGTCATTACCACGAACTGTAGCTTGACAAGTGAGCAAAACTTAAATGCACGTGTCTGCAATACTATTGCATGCAAAGAGGCATAGTCAGCTCTGAATACATAACGACCTGTAATCCTTCTAGCACGAATGACCTTTATCACAGAGATAAAAATGTGTACAGTTATTTTGAGAGATTGAATGCATCAAAAACACCGTTGTCTAATGTGTATAATTTAAACTTCTTAATTGATTTCACCTTCAGAGGGGGGGGGGAGTTAATTTATTTACGAGGCCGACTAAGTTTCGTTTCTGAATTATTAGGCACACGATCAATACCCATTTACAATTCCTTGAAATTTCCTCAGTGATACAAAAATAGAAAAACGTCTTTGTTGTCTATTATTGTTTTCATTCTGGAATGTATGGCCAGGTAAATATGATCTACGAGACATTTTCAAAAAAATGTTTATTTCATCGAACTTTCACTAAGACGTTCCTCATTCTTTCCAATCATCCACGAATATTTCGTTCAGTCTTATTTTCATAGTTATAATGCAATCATTGAGTTATATTTCAAAAGCAAACAAGGCAAAATCTTGAATAATTTATGTTGCATTCTAATGTGCGCTGGAAAATTTTTTTTAATTCAGTCTCTTTAGCCTGGCCTTCGATTGAACATCTCATTGCCTTTGATGCCCTATATTGCATGGCAATGGCATTTGTTCGATATAAGATCAATGCACATTGCCTAAAGCATTAACTTTCCATGAGGCTCGTTATTTTTAATGGTTTCTTAAGCACATACGCGCAGGCGTGTGGCTCAGCATCGCATTTTTTAGTCCTTTGTTCTACTTATAAGTAGGCGCAACTTGTAATATATTTGGTCGTCAATATATTCCTTTGTATGACATTGGGGCAAAATCGAACACCTCATTCACTGCACTATTTATACCCCATGATTTTCTCCGCTGAATATCAATTTAACGTACCTTTCTATGAGGTCGGAAATATTTTATTAGGTTAGCATTATTTCGGAAACGTTAATTTTTAAATTAATTTTTAAATTTAAAACAATGCCTTAGTGTTTAGTCCTTAACGAAATTTGCATTCAGTTTTGATTCACTTCTATATAGAAATCCCCAATAGGTTCTTCCTCTCCATTTAAAACTCTCTTTATAAATATTCAGCAACATCAACAATTTTTGATTGACAAATTTTGATGAGACCCTGTATGTTAAAATAAATTCTTTTTAATAGCTATGAATGCTATTCATATAATTTTATGCGATGCACCAAGATCAAGTTTATGTGTTAACTCCAAACACCCGTGCAATTCAAAATTCGAATTGCTCAAAAATTTTAGATTATAATTAACAATTTTTACAAACCGTTCACGCACAAAGAAGTCAGCAAAACTCGCTCCTTGCTCGTGATGGCGTCCCTTGCTGGGGCCGTTTCGAAATCTTCAGACGACGGAGATTTGCCAAGGCGGACACCCGAACAAGAGATTACAGGATCACTTGGCTCCTTCGTACGCAGTTGCAACGACATGCACGAACTTCTTGGAGGACGGACGAGCCTCCAGGGATCAGCGGTTTCACTTTTTTCTAAGTCTATTTTACTTTTTTTCCCTGCAAAGCTGCGGAAAGGAACACTTGGGATCGAGAGTGGCGGAAGATTGCTTGTATTAGCAACTCTGCAAAGCCCCTGAGAAGTTCAGCAGTGCCTGGCTCGCCAATCTCTTTTTTCAATTGACTAAGTTGCCGGAGCTCCTCTGATTGCACTTACGTCTAAAACGCTATTTCGTGCACCAATATTGCTTGTATTTCTATAGTGATATAGAAACGAACTGTGCGTGTTGCAGGACAACGTCAATTATTTTGTGCCTTAGTTATGATCAGACATTACATTTAATTGTTGCAAGATGAATTGAGAGCTGCCACGATGAAGCTTCACATATGAGAGTATGTGCAAAATTTTACAACTCTGACTCTTCACATAAAAAGAAAAAAATAATCCTTCTAGGTTCGAACAAAGCTCTTCTCCACACATTAAAACAAAAAATCTTACTTCAGCTTGTTAGTGATCAGAAGATCACTTATACTAAAAAATGTTTGCAAACTTGAGACCAAAAAGATCTGACCACCTAATAGTGCACGAACATTATACGTATTGCATGCCTGTAATAGGAAGGTAGGCCATTGCAGGTATAGTAACAGAGGCCGAATAGACCAATCATTTTGACAGGAAACAATCCCGCTCACTTCTTCCAGGACTTGCTTATCACGCGATCGTCTTCACGCATGAAAATGAAGACTTTAATTCGTCGGTCAAATCTCTGTGAAAATTTCACGTAGTATTGAAATATAAAATTTGATATTCGAGTATTTCGGGAATATTTGTCCATTAAAAAACAAAAATGTTGATTATTTAACAAGCTTAACTAAACGAAATGGGTCAATTATTCAACGACAACATTTTCTGGACTAACATTCGGCAACTTGCATTTTTAAAATAAACTTTTCCTGCTTAAATCTCAAAGTTAAAGCAATAGTGAGCCAGTAAATTTCGCTGCTCAATTCCGAGTGCAACAAAAAACGCTAAATAGTGAATAAAGAGATTTTAATGTTGCGTCTATCAAGGAAATGAAGTAAAAAATATCACATGTTCGCTGTAACATGAACTTATCTGATACAAATTTTTCATAAAAAATATTTATGTAAGTTTCGCCGCAAACATATTTCATTCCTATAACTTTTTTGTATCCGCAAGTCATGACCATTCAAGTGAAGTCGGATTTTGTTATTAACGCTCATTAAATTTTAATTATTCCTATGAGCTCGGCCAAAAACAGACGTTGTAACAAAAAAGAATGATGTCATTTTATAAAAGCCTTTTTTAATTTTAAAGCTATAATATCTATATATTACTGTGACTGTGTTAGATAAGAGCGCAACATACAGATTGTATCACTTGAGGACATTGCGACACCTAAGCAAAGCCAACAGACGTACAGATACAGTGCCCTCCTCCAAGCCCTGACGAAGGTTCGATGACAGCTAGAGTGCGCCGCTACGAGTTATTGGAAAGCGATGCAGCGACTGCAGGCCACGATGCTAGTGATGCAGCGACTGCAGGCCGCGGCACTAGCGATGCGGTGACTGTAGGCCACTGCACTAGCGATATGGTGACTGTAGGCCACTGCACTAGCGATGCAGCGACTGCAGGCCACTGCACTAGCGATGTGGTGACTGTAGGACACTGCACTAGCGATGCGGTGACTGTAGGCCACTGCACTAGCGATGCAGCGACTGCAGGCCGCTGCACTAGCGATGCGGTGACTGCAGGCCACTGCACTAGTGATGCGGTGACTGCAGGCCACTGCACTAGTGATGCGGTGACTGCAGGCCACTGCACTAGTGATGCAGTGACTGCAGGCCACTGCACTAGTGATGCAGTGACTGCAGGCCACTGCACTAGCAATGCGGTGACTGCTGGCCACTGCACTAGTGATGCAGTGACTGCAGGCCACTGCACTAGTGATGCAGTGACTGCAGGCCACTGCACTAGTGATGCAGTGACTGCAGGCCGCTGCACTAGCGATGCGGTGACTGCAGGCCACTGCACTAGTGATGCAGTGACTGCAGGCCACTGCTACTCGTCAGCTTCGTCCTCAAAGTCCCGACGCAAATGACATAGGTTACGCTACTGCATTAGACTTACGGCATCAGGCCACGCCTAATACTTGCTTCTTTTTGCATCCGTTACTAATTCTTCTGCCTCTTGGACTCAACCGGGTCTCAGATTTTTCGTTTTATACAATCTGCACTCTGCAGTGAACCATGTGCTCATATCTTTAAAGTAGAAGTGCCTAATTTATTCTACTTGAGTTTGTTTTTCTGACATGTCAAGATTTTTTTCGATTATCTCCTAATCAGTCGTTATCATTCTCCGGCAATAAACCATTTAGCAGACGGACTCCACTTCAACACTATCTCTCACATACCGTGCCATGTAGGGGTGAGAGGCGCTATACAAACACGCACCTAGTGTACGCTGGCACTATAATAATGTATGCCATGGGGAGTGTGGGCGCAAATCACGGAAATATGGCAATAATCAGCCTAAAGTTTTTCGAACGTAACTATTATGGTGATCATGACAACTGGAATGATCATCAAAAACAACATGATTGCCTTACACAACAACATTTATTTCAAATTACTAAATACTGATTTAAATTTTACCTCGCTCATAAAATTGTTCTCATATAGGTTCTGTAGAGAAATAACATGCATTTATCATGCTTTAATTGCCTTCAGGCTTCTTATTCACTAAGAAATATTATTTTGTTTCAATTCCAGATTTACCGGAGTGCCAAAGTCGGACTGTGACATACTTCATATACAGCGACCCTATCAACGTGACGTGTTCGTACGCCGCCTACCCTCGCCTCACGCAAGTTTTCTGGCACTGGAACGCCACTTCTGACGTCAACAACACAAAATCTGTCGACAGACTTCAACAAATTTACTCAAATCCTCTTAAAGGCAACGGGGATGTGTCGACAGCGCAGTTGACGGTGTACCCGTCCATGTCGCCAGATGACAGGGAGCTCACTTGTCGCGGTGTCAACGAGTTGGGCAACCAAACAAAATCCTGCAAGTTTTTCATCAAAAGAGCAAGTAGGTCCCGGAATAAAATAGGAATAATTTTCTAATTGGTAACTTCAGAAAATTTTTACATGTTACTGGATAAGGTTGTAATTAAGAAATCATTTGTTATGAATGACTTTTTATGAAATATTATTCGCAGCATACGATACATGAACTGACATGGTAGTTGTGTTTTACAGCAATCTTAATTTTCGTTTTTCTCAATGACGATACGAGCAAAGAATTTTGTACTGTTAGAGAACAAAACTCTGATATAAACATTATACTCTCATTTCATCTTCTTCTAACTCAATTACGCGAGAAATTTCATAACTACATTTTTGTATCATATTTCGAGTTATTTTGAAACAGAGGAATGGGAGTCAAGATTTTGTTCATGACTCCACGCGTTAGTTTCATGCTTCCAACAGAAGAGTTAATTTCCTTAATTATATTTACGATGTAAATTCATATAATTTCCCCAGTTTATTAGTATTTTGAGATTTGTCTATGGAAACTTTCAACTGCAGTGGCAATTAATTGTTTTTATTACTCACCAATGCCCCCTAATACTTCAAAACAAAGGAGTTGAATGAAATAAGTTTCTGACATTTAATGATACTTCACAACACCTATCAAAAATGTCTTAAAAATGACCTGATTGTCCCTGAACTGATGACCCGAACAGAGACTCCCGCGCCGCTGTCGTCTTGCCGCCTGGCGAACATCACAGCATCGTCGCTAAGCCTGACGTGCGAGCACCCCGACCTACCCACCGAGACGGCCATCGCATACACTGCCCAGGTACTCTACACCCCGACCTACCCACCGAGACAGCCATCGCCTACACCGCCCAGGTACTGTACACCCCGACCTACCCACCGAGACGGCCATCGCCTACACTGCCCAGGTACTGTACACCCCGACCATCCCACCGAGACGGCCATCGCCTACACTGCCCAGGTACTGTACACCCCGACCTGCCCACCGAGACGGCCATCGCCTACACTGCCCAGGTACTGTACACCCCGACCATCCCACCGAAACAGCCATCGCCTACACTGCCCAGGTACTGTACACCCCGACCATCCCACCGAGACGGCCATCGCCTACACTGCCCAGGTACTGTACACCCCGACCATCCCACCGAGACAGCCATAGCCTACACTGCCCAGGTGTTTAAGGCTGAAATTTACGTTAGAATTTTACTTTATTGTGATTATGTTTTCAACAAGTTATTAAGGGATTTGCAAAAACACCAGTGCGCTATCGAGCTTAATTTTTCATTATAATTTTTTATTTTTACATAATTCGTTGTTCGACCAGTAAAATATTTTTTAGTGAAGATTACTCATATTTATTTCTCCTTCAAGTATTAATATGGTTGATAGAAATTACAATAAGGAGTGATCGTGATCGTTTTAATGTTGGAACGCTTGCCAAATCTAATAGTAGTGCGGAGCCGAGCATCACTGCATGAATACATATAAGCGCAACTCTACTCATGGTTCTTGTTCTTATCAATTGATGAACAAAAAACGTGCGTGCCAACTCAGAAGTCAACAATCGCCGGCCAACCTCCCAAACGGACTGATAATAGACGTAGCCATTTGGAACGTCAGGCACTTTTCGACCAAGCATCCTACACAATAGAAGCAGCAATGTTCTAGAATAGTGAATTTTAATAATAATATGATGCAGAAATCTAGGATAACACTGCAAAAAATCTATAATGAACTATGAATTTTACCCGAACAAAACAAATACAAATGACTACGATGAATGATCATGAACAGCAGGCTGACGATACCTATAAAAGGTGCGACCGCTACTGGGACGCTTGATGCTGAACAAGTGGCGCAGACAGCGGTTCATCACTAACACGGACGACTGCAATCAAGTGCATACTAAACCCAACACGCAGCCTTACGATCAGAGATGGGGACATAATCTCGGCCGGCTAGCTTGGGAAGTGTCATGTTAAATCGCGTCGACTGTAGGCAATAGTGGCATTATAAATCACGATGTTGGGATGGTTGTGTTGTTAGGGACCACCTGTATATATAATAATTGTATCGATAGTTAGGTTACTTGTTTGTCATTTTGTTTTTGAGTTACTATTACGTGACCTCGTGTAGACCCGCCCTGTAACTTGTCATTGTTATGTGATCCACCACAGAGGTTAGTGCTTGCATTGTTTATCGTGTGTTGATCTTCGTGTTGATATAGTGGTGGCTTTTTTGTTAATATTTATTATTATTATTTATATTAGTTTTTATTTATATACTCATTTGTTAGAGTTCTCTTAATTCAAGTCCATAATTTGTATTTATTCGTGTTTTTCAGCGGGCTCCGAACTGAGGACATGATTAAGAGTTAATAGGCAAGGGCAGGAAAGACACACGTTTTATAGATTTATAAATTAATTTCTTGGATTTATCGTTCATTTATTATTATTGTCCTTTCTTTATCAGTTTTTATTCATCCTTTATTGTCGATCATTGGCCAAGTGTTTAGGGTCAAGGGAAGACTATTTATTGATTAGTCCCCAACAGTGTGTTAAATAGCATGGCATTTTGTTGGTACGATGAATCCGGTGGCATGTTGGTTTGTTAATTAAATGGCGTATTTAAAAATTCTGCTTCCAATGCTATGGCACCAAAGATTCACCGAAACATGCAGCAACCATACATCAAACATGCATTTCAGATTCACCGAAACATGCAGCAACCATAGCACTGAAAGGTACATTTTACATATTGTACAAATTATTATTAAAACCCCAATTGGCACCTATCCATAACATACGTTAACAGCAATTGATTCTCAAACCTAATGGCAATTCGTTATAATCTTTCACCATCAAAGAGGATAGAATGCCATTAGATTTGTTTTATGGCTCTGATGCATCATATAAGAACGTCTCCGTAGATGAATGAACGCTATCGAAAGCGTATCTGACACTAACACAAAATTTTGGTTCTATTTCCGGTCTTCGATTTGCGTTCGCAATCAAGTTTCCACTCCTGTTTTTTTGTACAATCGGCAACAAAAATCTCAGAAGCTCATGAAAAAATTTCTAAACTTTGACTCTGACGTCATGACTAATTATCAAACCATGTTGACTTTTCTTGCATAAATTACAGCCGGATAACGGCTTCTCTTTTATATTCAACGCATTTCATTGTTTGCAAAGTATTTATTTTGCATAGCCTATGCAGAGAATGGCTGGCAAGTTGAGTGATGTAGAGCGCGTGTTAATCGATTCGTGTGACGACCGTTGACCGCGCCGAGCCTTCACTATATTAACTTACCACATCGCATGTGAAGTAAAAGCTTATGGCCTTGTGTCGGGTAATGGTCATACTTGTGTGCTCCTTAACGGTGATGCGGCCAGTTGGCTACGTCGGTTACGTAGCCATCTGGCAGCAATTGCGGCTAAGCTCATTGCCTGTTTTGTATCAAGCTGACTCCGCAGTAGGATATATACGTGATGAAGGCTTCTATATTGCGAAACAGTAAAAGGAAACGTCGGATGTGTGGTTAGCTAAAAAGTTTTCATATAAAATGGAAACATTGGAAGCAAGCCCAAAGATGACCAAATAACTTGAAGAAATATAACTTTAACGTAATTAAAGCTTCCTGTAAATTGTAAAGTGTACTTCAGTTCACACTGTTAAGCGCATGACAAACGAATGCATGTTGTGGTAATTTCGATAATGTAATGTGCACATAAAGCTCGATTATGGAAAGTACACATAAAGCTTTTTTAAAGCGCGTTCACAAAGGCAATCTATCTACATTCAAACGATTTTCGCAACAAAGCTTCTTAAACGAGGGCAGCGAAATCTCACTGCTGACATTCCAGCATTCCTGGGTGCAGAATGGAACAAAGAAGTGTCGTCAATGAAATATAATTTTTCATACGATCGTGTACTGGAAACAAGAGAAAGGTAATGTGTTGCTACCTTCCTTTGTAGCCTTAACAAAAGCCTTTGAACTGCGTGACCTGATATATCGTTCCGTCGCAAGCTTTACGATTGTAATACTTCAATTATAGTAATTTATTTCAGAGTTTCATTATTATTAATTTAACTGTGTTGCAGTCATTGGCTACTCGATTCTAGCTAAATTCAATCACAATATCACGTTAGCATGATAGCTATCTTGAGTGATATGATCGCTATAAGTATCCATCATCAGAGGACATCCTATCGTACAATTTTGTGCAGCAGTTTATAAACTATTTTTTTAAGTCTGGCATTATTGTAATATATGTTTCTGACCGTTGCGCTGCGAGCAATCGTAGTTTTCATCGCAATCTGTTCGTACAATATTGCGCATGGAAATTTCTGCGTTCAACGTCGTGAGCGTCAAAGTGACATGTTTCTGAAATGGCTAAAGTATTAAAGAAACAAGTCACTAGAGTAAATCATCGTTGACGTAGACGCGCATAGATAAGATGAACAATTTATGGTATATGACAAGAAGTAAAAAATCTTCTGACTGGCTATTTTATTACCCAACAACGAACTGAACTTTAGTCGTCTGAAAACAAATTTGAATCAGCTTAATAAATGTGGATGAAATATTCAACCTGAAGCTTGAATTTCTTAAGCGTGAGAATATGTAAGCTAACGATTGCACTTAAGCTCTCTGTTAGCCAGTTATAAGGTCTTGTCATCCGACTTGTCTTTTTATAAAGTTTATAATTTTGTTTATATTATGCATACACTGCGTCATAAGAGTGGTAATTTCTGCAGGTTTATTTTGAGAATGGCACTTCGTTCGTGAACCTGAGCTCTCCCGAGCCGAACTTCAACGTGAGCCACCTGGACCAGGGCACCAACTACCAGATCAAAGTCTACGTCTCGCAGGGACCAATCACGTCCCAACCCGTCCTGGTGTCCGCGTCTACTTCACGAGACGGTCTCAGACAGACCAGTGAGTAAAGAGTGCAGTGGTTGGCCACTTCCGAGACCGTCCCAACCAGACCAGTGAGTAATGACCGCAGAGGTAGGCAGGTTCCGGGTCTGTCGCAGGCAGACCAAAGCATGTGCGCACAGTATTGGGATTGCTCGTGTGACTGATCTAGGAAGATCTGAGTGTCAGGGGTGCAGCGGTAGGTCACCTCGAATCCTTTCAGTACACTATAATTGCATAATATAAAAAATTTTGATCATAAGCTGATCTCGATCGGGTGGCCAAGTAGACAAAGGAAACTGAGCCGAGTGTAGCGACTGCTATAGGCAGAAGCGTGGGCATTAACCGATTTTTATTAGAGAAATGTGCTTCGGCATGCCAGCGCGTATTATTGATTCAGGTAGACCATTGCTTCATGAGTGCTGCGGTATATAGGCCACCGCATACGACTGACTCAGGCAGATCAGTGCGTCAGGTACTAATTGTCATACTTAAGAGTGTGGGGCAGATATGCTCACCGGACTGTGAGTGAGACGTTGATTTGCCGAACAGCATGCAAGAGATGACTTAATCGGTAGACCAGAGTGTGAGTGATGAGCTGATTGTCAGACCAGCATGTGAGTAATGGGCTATTTGTCAGACCAGGTTGTGAGAGATGAGCTGATTGACGAAATAGGTGCTGAGTGAAGGGTTGCGAGGGGCGATAAATTGGGATCTGCAGAGTCATAGGAAAAGGGTTCACATTGTATTGCAACTAACTTTCAGAATCCCAACAGGGATCTAATTTTAATACAAGTCAATTAAATCAAAATACATCGGCGAAAACAGATAATGAGTTATTCTTCCTGGTGACCTAGAGACCTTTTCAAGTCGTTTTCATCCTAACCATCCAAAAATTTATTCTGGGTACTAGTTTTTAAGGAATTCCCATATAATCATTTTTTTCATTCACTTAACATGTCTCATTAAAACCCCATTGCCTAATACAATTAACAATTAAAAATCCTGCGAACAAAATTATTTCATCATATTTACTAGCAATTGATCAATTGTTGCAGTTCGCAGCCAGAAGTCAACTACTCCGCCCTCTCTGTGGTCGCTGGTAGCCATCGCCCTAAGCACCGTCCTCACGACGGCCGTGTTGTTGTTCGTGTTGACGTTGCTGCGCAGGAGCAGGATGGGATTTTGTGGAAAATCCAGCAGATCTCCTACGGCAGGAAGGAGTCGTGCAGCATCCTATAGTGGGCAGGACGTGGCTGGATCTGCTGCAGAGGACGAAGCGCTTCGTAAAGACGAGATCCTACAAGCGGAATATTTTACGAACACCGAAACGTCGGCGTCACTGGAGGAGCTCAATCCTGACGTCGTGCCGTCCAAAGGCGGTGAGCAGAATTCGATGGATTCACGTGGATATTTTGCGATGGTTATGGGTTTTAGATGATTATACTTTATTTCATGTTCTAACCAATGATATAAATTATTGCGAATCGTTGTCTAACTTGTAAATGTGTAATAAGAAAATAATGGCGGTTCGTTATTGTAGCTTAATATGACATTTTAAATTACTGTTAAAAAGGAATCCTTATTGAATCATATACAATATATTTTATTACTTTGCATATATTCTTTTGTATCAAATTCTTTCTTTTATTATTATATTCTTTTGTATCAAATGAATGTTTAAATCGCACGCTCGCCAAGAATTCAAAAGAAAAAAACGCTTATTAAACTCACCATGTCATCAATGAAAACATTTCGAAGACCAATTGCTTCAGCAGTTAAAAAATTTAAAGCGTGCAAGTACAATCAGCAATGAAAATCAAAATACACAAAAGAGACTGTAACCTAAGCAACGAAAACACGTCAAACGGAGCGTAAAAAACTATCAATTTACAATTTCAAGAAGACTAGAACTTCACGCCTTATTAACACAAGGTTTCATGCAGTTTTAAGATGTTCAGCGATTCCAAAATAACCAAATATATCCTCCAAAAATAAATAAAATATTTTCCCCAATAAAATATCATTTCATCCCCAAACATATTTACCGTCCATTAATAAACTGCATGATACAATTCAATATTTTTATGCCCCCAGAAGACCCATTCGACCTGCTGCCCTGCCAGAGTTACTACGTGAGATGCCCCGTGGACGCGTTCAGCTTCCCTGCCCGCTCTCCATGCAGAGCTTACCGTAGGGTCAGTCACACGAGCTTATGTACATAAATTAAGCTCAAAACATCAGTCTAATCTGAAAAATGGTTGAAAATATCTGCACGAAAAAAAAGTTCAGTAGTTGGGCTAGAAATAGTAGGAAATTACACCGTTTTCGACGGTCCAATGTTACTTGGCATTTTATCTTGCGATATTATTCCCCCACAGACATTAAGAAATATTCATAACTTTCATGATGGCTACTAAAAATATGAAAAATAATAATAACTACATGTAGTCTCGAAGTATTAATCAGCCCAAAGAAAGAAAATCTTAGCGTATTTGAGTAAGTTTAATGTCGCAAACCTAAAAAATGTCAAATTTTACCAAAGCACCCAAACACTCACATGGCGCAAGCCAAACCCCACCAAAAAATACTAATAATAACTAGTAAACCGTGGAAATATGTGTATGTTTATTGGTTCCCGATTAAAAAAGAAGAACATGAATAAAACATTCTCTTATAAGATTATTTTTATTGGTTAAACTCCGCTATTAAACAAGAATACACTTTTCACTCTATTATTTTCATTTTCTTACAATTAACAAAAAACACATGATTAATTTAGTTCTTTACTTGAGCAATATCAATTGAAATAAATTTATCTACATTTCGTTCACAATACCAAAAAACCATCATCTCTCACGGAATAACCTTCATCAAATAATACGATAATATAACTCAGAATATGTTCTGAGTAAACCAATGGTTATATATTATTTCCGCGACCGGGCAGCGTTCGCAGTCTCCGGAAGCTGAGGAAGGCCGCCCGATGCTGGCGAGCGCAAAAGATAGCGCTGACGAAGGACGGTCGGTCGACGATGGACGGTCGGTGGAGGATGGACGGTCGGCGGAGGATGAACGGTCGGCGGATGCAAGACGTGCGGAGGACGTGTATGGTGGCCCGGACAACGCAAGTGTCCGCTACACCATGGGAGTGACCATCGGTGGTGTAGGTCAGTCCGTGACAAGTCTGTTCCGCAGTCGCAGCCGCTCCCATAACATCACGTCATTCCTCTCCAAGCCTGACGAGGACCATGAAACTATTGTATAAAACACGCCGTAGGAAAGCTAGCTGTACAAAGTCTCAATGTTATGCGATGTTTTTACTAGATAAATATGTTTTAAATGATGTTCCAATGGAAACGATGTATTTTCTTATGACATAAAATCTATAAATCGAGATTTTTTTATTTTTCCTCTGCGAACGAAGTCAGGGCGGAGTAAAGGAATATTTAGCAAGTTACCTCAAAGCTAAAAGGCGGAGGGAACGCTCCCCGTAAAGGGGGGCGAGGAGTCCAAACTTAGTTTGTGCTCCGATCTTCAGCGCAAAATGAGCCGCGGGCAAGAGCCTCTACAAACTTCGGAATCTTTTGGTCTGAACGAAAGTTTATTCAGACTTCAGTGTTGGTCATATACGTTTCTGAGTAGTGAGAAATATTTGTAGCGTATTTCCACGCTTGAATTAAAATTCTAGACAATTTTACTAGTAAAAATTGAAGAACAGCAAGACTCGTTAAAGTAGAAGAAGATGGGTAAGTTCAAAATAAAGTCTTCGTTTTCATTTTCGTTCTAGATTTTCTTCATTCACATTTTAGCATCACAAGTATCTTCAGATTGAATTAAATATTTTCTAAAATTGTGCAAATTTGCGTCGAAGGGATATCCACATTACATCCTTATAACTATTCTCTGCTATGCATAGAATAAAGTTTATGGACAAAACTCCAAATAAGACGGCACAGTGAACTTATTCACGTCGACTAGAACAAAACGTTAGCCCGTCGAGAGAAAAGAATCTGTGTTCACAGTTGCACTGTAGGGCCTGAGATGCTCATAAAATAGCTTACGTTAAGTTTCCTCCTAATTCTCCGCATCAACAAACACTCGCTTGGCAGGCCCCTCGGATGCTCTGCAATTTGCCAGAAGTATCGGCTGCGCGTCTCGCGAGAAAACTTCTGGTCCCTAGAAATAAATTGAATTTAGATTCATCTATTTCGCCAGAACTTCCATCACTGGCAAGTGATCTGAATCCTAAACCGGGCTGGCCCTTTTGTTTCTTCAGTTTTCTTCTTTGTTTTTATCATCGTAATAAAATTGCTGCCCGTTGAGAATGGATTCCTGCCGGTTTTTGAGTTACAGTACATGAGATAGTTCAACTTCGGTTGACTCACTCGGCACTAAAATTTAAAGGGACTGTGAAGGTAAAAAGACTAGGGATGGAGGTTATACTTATTCTGCTGATCGACATCAAATTTATAATGAAATTATTTACAGAGAAATAAACTTCAATTTCGCAATCAGTGATTCATTTTTGCCCTGCCGGGATAACATATATTAAAACTTTCAGTTGAATTGAATATATAGAATCGGAGTCATTCTGGCAGAAGTTAGCATAAAATATCAGCTGAACTCTTCTGAATTGATGTAAACTTTATCTATGACTCCATAAAGCATTTTTAGCCATTACAAAAGAAATCTAAATCCAAAGTTTTTATTTTATTAAACACCAGCTTAACCCTGCATTGTTCGTTATAGATGATCCTTGGGATTTGAGAACATCGTTCATTCGGGATCCTTTTCCCCCGATCCTGTTAGTAACTCTCAAAACTGAAGCGGTATTCATCACAGAAAGATCAGTTTACGCTCGCATTCGACACGAGCCCTACCACTATAGCTCATGTTTTGAGAGATAGAGAAAAATCAACTTTTCATTTCTGTATACAGGGTGTCCAACGAAAATGAGAGCGAGTTTTTAATTGAATATATCTCTAATTCAAATAACCATATTGTAATGCAATATTTTCACAGTGTATTAAATTTTTCTCTTCGAATAACAAAAGATTAAGACAATTGGTTGAATAACCACTTCGCACTGATAGATTTAAGAAGAGACTACTATTTGTTCAAATATAATTTTTTTGTGTTCATTCTTCTATGATTCCTTTAATAATTTAATTTCTTTATTCCCTAACACATAAATATATTGACATTTTTCCCTGGGGATCTGTAATGGAATGCGTTATAAAAATAATACTTTCATATTAAACAATTCTTCGACAGCGAATTGAGCGAGTCTTTCAGGAACGCGAAGAAAACTGCGAAATAATTCGCAAAACTCTTCGTTCAGTGGTGGATAGAAGTAATTCTGGCCTTGAGAGAAATGAAAAGCATGTCGAAGTTTATTTAATCACTTTCTTTATTTAAACGTCCCATAAGAAAATTATTTGATGAACTTTCAATTGTTTTTCCACCATTTTCAAAAAAATTTTCACTTTGATTTGGATGTTCAACCTATTTCAAGAACCATAATTATTAAAAAAATGTACAACATTCTGGAATTTTGTTTGGATATTTATGTTTGTTAGTTAAACAGATTGGGATTACTCATTATTCACTCACGCATTTCCAGCGCTAATTCCCCTCAATTACTTTCATTTATCTATCATATTTTTGTGATGTAAACAAAATGTAAATAAGCAAGCGCGTTGTTTGGCAAACATTTATTGGAGCCGCGCTACGCTTGTGAATCTCCGGAAGCCACCCTACGGCCGGCGAAAAGTTATCCATGATCGATACACGTATGATCTCCATTGCAGCCAGCGCTCAGAGCGATATATTTGTGTACGAAACTACAACCTTATAACTCCAACAAATTCATTTAAAGCAATAGATATCTAAGCTTTTAAAAACAGTGATCAAGGCGAGCATAATACGAATAATCCGTTGCTAGCGCTTTTTAAAATTATGTATTTTATAGGTGATGGTCGAGCGTAGAACTCTCAAAGTATTTGTTAACGTAATGAAAGACGGTTGATTTTAGTAACCTACGTCCACACGGGCAAAAAAATAATTTATATTCTTTTAGCAATCAATAGCAGAAGACTGTGAAAATGTGTAATATTGATTCATTTAAAACGATCGTCTCACGAATGTCTTTTTTGGCTGTTCTGGCTGGCTACAAAGCTGACAAAATTGATGTGTATCTATTTCACCACCACTGAAGTCTAAATAGAACTTTGTGAGCTAACCCGACGTCAGATTTTCTCCTAAATTCGTAGCAAATCTAATTACATTCTCCTGTCAATGTATCGAGACGAGTCTAACGAGCTATACATACACACAAGATCTGCCTAAAGGCCTCTATTTTTCTGGCCTTTAACCATCTAAAAGGGCAAACAAACTATCTCATCTAAAGGCCAACAGCACATAGCTGTTGGCTGTGTGCTGACTATGTCTTACTATTTTTTTGACTATGTGTAGGGCTGTTGAAAATGCAGTCACGATTAGCATTTGTATCATACTGAACCATGAAAAATTTATTCTCTTTTATTTGTCTCAGTGAAAAAAATATTTTCAAATCAAAAAATTCTTTCCTTATTTTCTTTAATTTGACTTTTTCGTTTTCTTAAAATTTTTAATTGTGTTATGATTTTATTGAAATAAACTGATATTTCGCGGTAATTTAGTCTAGTGGACAAATTGTTAAGAACACCATGATCGTATAGCGATTTGAACCCGGTTGCGGGTTCAAGTCCGGCAGCTGACTGTAAAAATTCTGGTCATAATGAACGATGCGGCGAGGTGATTAAGAGGCCGCCTCACCGTCGTGGGCATCGACACTGCATGATACACTAGAGCTTCTTCACCGAGTTACTCTTAGGCTACTCCACTCTTGTGTGAGACAATCAACTGATAATTTTCATGCAACTCCAGCCATTTATTGTTTATCCGGACGCTATGACGAAAAATATAAGAGTTGAAATGAATAACTACGACTGTGAACATTTATAAAATTTATGCTGATGCAGAGTTCGACTTTTATTCATAATTTTTTCGCCACTAGATTTGTTCTAGTTCATCTCAAACGGCATGTCAGTTATTTAATAATCAACATTCCCTGTTATAGATATTTTGGGTTAAAAACAGTTCATTCTGAACAAGCAGTGAAAGTTCCCTGGATAAATAGCTTCTTTGGAGAGCCTGGTATAAAGGAATATGCAAACAACCTGTCTAAAAAAAATATAACTCAGTACTCACTGCAGTGAGTGACAGAGAGCGCATTTTCTCGTCGACGAAAACTTGAGGTCACGGACGGACAGACAGACGGACATGGCGAGCACAATAGTGCATTTTTTCCATAAATTAGAAAATGCGCTAAAACCCCTCAGCAAGTGGGGAGAAATGGCAACCTAAAAACCCCCGATTAATTAAATCACCACGGTGAAAGAAATGTGGTTGTTGTGGGGACGATAATGATTCACCCTGCAGTATGTCGGTTTTACATGCTTTACACTGCCCATTAGCGTCTCACATAATATCTAGTTTGCTTCTCGCTGATGCAGACATTCCATCACAGCAAGATTAGAGCTGTGAGTTTTCGACCTGCAGCTATGCTGTTGATGTTCTGCCATGTGTTGATGTTCCATGTGCAGACCAAATTAGGCCTAGTCTTCGGTGCTGAAACAAAAATATTAAATTTTAATTATTCCACATAGTTTATCGTTAGTAACTGCAAATAACTCAATATTTAATATGACTGTCAGAGACATTCCAGAGAAGGAGTGAAATGACACAGAGAGATTGGTCTGCATTTAGTTTCTTCAATGATAAAATGTTAATGCTTACGATCGAGAAATTTTTCTTGTCTACAAATGAATCGTTCAGCATTTATATGTTAATTTTAGCATCGCGAATAATAGTTAACAGTTAAAATATATCCCAAGGCTCTAATGACTTGCCAAAATTTTGAAATTATTTAAAACTATTTTTACCTCGTACCTTTGATGAGTTCTATTTGGCGTTGAATGCTCATTAACTTCCTACGCAAACACTGTGCTATCCGCAGAAGTATATGAAATCAAATTAAATTTCAATTATATGCCGTCACGCAGTCATTCTGCGCCGCTAAAAAAATTCTTAAATGAATTAGAGAAATTCAGATGACATTGTTTTGGTAATTGAGGTACTGTAAATATCGACAGACAGGAGAGGATATAAAAACAATTCTACGTTACCGTGTATCGGTAACTATAAGCTATACCATACAAAACGCCATACAAAGTGAAGTAACCTTCATCACGCATGATGTCTGAATGTAGCCTTGTTAATTGACGTTGTCAATATGCCCAGAAGTGGTCGTCAATGGCGATTG